CTTTGAAAAGACTCCCTTCCGTCTTTGAGCCTGCCGCGGAATTCAAGATTCAATGTCCAAAGTAACGGCTGAGTCTCAGGCGAAACATCCGACCCCCCCTACTGACACTTCTGGGGGGTCGGCAATGAGGAGTGACGTCGGAGGTTGGGGGGTGAGATCGCAGTGAAACGGAACCCCCCCACTGGGAAATTGGTTTCGGTTTCGTGTTCGCGTCGTGCGTGCGGGCGAGGCGAAGCTGCACGTGATCCTCGTGTAGCTAGGCCGAAGTAGGAGCGAAAGTCCGTTCCCGTCGGCCGGTGGTTGGGAAGTGTCCCAGTTGAGCCGGGCGGTGTCCCGGGTGTCCCGGGTATCAGTAGGAGCGAAAATCCGTTTCCTGTCCGCCGGAGGCCGGGAGGTGTCCCAGTTGGGCCGGGCGGTGTCCCGGTGTCCCGGGCGTCTCGGCCCTAACGTATGTCGCTAATTTCATAATCCATTTTTTTCGGCGTCTGCGGCGGGCTTCCTTTTATCAAATCCAGTTTATCATATCCAATCCATCTTGTCCAATCCAATCCATATTATCTTATCCAACCCATCTTGTCCCATCTTATCGTATCCCACCAAATCCAATCCACCCAGCCCAATCCATAAAGTCATTTGTTTCTGCGCCTGCGGCGGGCAATTCCAATCCATCTTATCTTATCCAATCCATCTCTTCCAACCCACCCCATCTTATCTTATCCGATCCATCTTATCCTATCCAACCCAATCCAACCAACCCAATGCATCAATTCATTTTTGTCGGCGCTTGCGGCGGGCTTTCTTATCTATTCCAGCTGATCTTATCCAATACATCTTGTCCAATCCAATCCATCTTATCGTATCCAACACATCTTGTCCCATCTTATCTTACCCCACCCAATCAAATCCATCCAGCCCAATCCATCAATTCATTTGTTTCTGTGCCTGCGGCGGGCCAACCCAATCCATCTTATCGTATCCAATCCATCTTTTCCTATCCGTCCCATCTTATCTTATCCAACCAACATTATCCCATCCAATCCAATCCACCCAACCCAATCCATCAATTCATTTTTGTCGGCGCCTGGGCGCGATCGCGGCAGACTGCGAGGCTCGAGCGTTCGGCGCCCTTGCCTTTCGGAAGCCGCCCCATAGGTAGTTAGTGGGATCTCATCGTCATCGCGATCATAACTGTGGTGGAGGGAGACTCTGATAGAGGGGGAGAAAGAGAGAGAGAGAGAGAGATAAATAGAGAGAGGGCGAGAAAGAGAGGGAGAGAGAGAGAGAGAGAGACACAGAGTGAGAGAGAGAGAGAGCGAGAGACAGAGAGAAAGAGACAGATGAGATCGAGGTGACAGGCTGGAGGTCAGTCAGGGTGGGCATTTGATCTCAATCCCCCCCCCAACCTCCTTATCGCCCGCAGGGCGGTCGTATAGGTATAAGGACAAAGGATGGACTGGAAGAGGAAGAGGAGGAGGCGGGGGAGGAGGAGAAAGAGGAGCCCCTTCCCTCTAGATCTACTCTTCCTGCAAAGGCGGGAAGTCGCTGCCTCGACGGCCCAGACGGGACCTCGTCGCACGGCAAATCCCGCATCCGTGCGCGGCGCTGGAGCCTCACAGCAGGCCGGTCGGGTTGAGGGGGTTAAGGGGGGAAGGGAGGAGGGCAAGGAGGGCGGGGGAAGGTGAAGGAGGAGAGATGCGGAAGATGAAAAGGGGGAGAACAATAGGAGGATAGCAGGCGGAGGAGGAGGAGGAGGAGGAGGGGGAGGGGGAGGGGGAGGAGGAGGGAGGAGGAGGAGGAGGAGAGGAGGGGAGGAGGAGGAGGAGGAGGAGGAAGGAGGAGGGGGAGGAAAAGGAGAAGGAGGAGGAGGAGGAGGAGAATGAGGAGAAGAAAAAGAAGAAAGAGGAGGAGGAGGAGGAAGAGAAAGAGGAGGAGGAGGAGGAGGAGGAGGAGGAGGAGGAGGAGAGGGAATGAGAGGGGGAAAAGGGGACGGAAGGAAGGATGGGGCGAGGGGAGAAGGGCCGGATGATGATGGTGATGGTGATGCCGATGCTGCTGCTGCTGCTGCTGCTGCTGATGATGATGATGATGATGATGATGATGATGATGATGATTACCGTGATGATAATGATGATAATGATGATGATAATGACGACGATGAGGATGTTGCTGATGATGATGTGGTTGATGATGATGCTGATAACGATAAAGATGGTGCTGATGATGAGGACGATGATGACGATGATGATGATGCTGATGGTGGTGGTAATGCTAAGTATGTTGATGATGGTGGTGGTGATGTGAATGATGATGATGATGATGATGATGATGATGATGATGATGATGATGATGATGATGATGATGATGATGATGATGATGATGATGATGATGATGATGGTGATGGTGATGCTGATGCTGATGCTGATGCTGATGATAACTATGACGATGACGATAATGATGACGATGACGATGATGACGATGACGATGCTGATCAGGATGATGATGACGACGATGATGACGAGGAGCAGCAGCAGCAAGAAAGGGTGGAGGAGGACGAGGGTGGAGGAGTAAAGGGAACTCCTCCCCCCCTTCCTTCCCGAGCGCCGAAGCAGGCCCTCTCGGCGCCCGCGCGCACTCTGATCTCCACGTGCGCCGCGGCGGACCCGTAGAAAAACATCAGCTCCGCAGCCAGCCCAGCGCCGCCTCAGCTGGCACTGCGGCGCCGGCTGAGCTGGCGAGCACGGCGCGCAACTCAACCGCGCCCGCTGCGCGGTCAACTCTCATCAACTCCCAGTGCATTCCGGAATTGCCGCGCAATCGTCCGCTGCAAGGTGACGCTGAGCTCGCAGCCCCCCATGCAGCCCCAGCGGGTAACGAGCTGTCCAGCGACCGCGTCCGCGTCACCGACTCATTCCTGCTCCTCCTGCTCCTCCTGCTCCTCCTCCTCCTCCTCCTCCTCCTCCTCCTCCTCGTCCTCCTCCCGCTCCTCCTGCTCCTCCTCCTGCTCCGCGAGGGCCGCTGGCTCGCGGGACGCGGCCTACAGGTGCTGCAGGGCCGCTTTGCAAGAGCGGCCGCCACGCTCCAGCGCGAGGGCCGCAGGGGGCACCTGGCGCCACGGCGCTTGCCCCTCGGGGTAGCGCCGGCGTCTGTCCGCCTCGGCCGCCGAGTTCACCGCCCCGTCGCGGCCCGCGGCCGCGGCCAGCCCGCCGACGTCGCCGGGAGCGCCGTACAGGACAGCGACGTCGAACAAGGAACGGAGCTGTCTGGCCTGGTGCGTGTCGAGGTCCGGGATGGCCTCTTCGCGCTCGGCGGCCAGGCCACGGCCGCAGGTGGCGCAGGCCGCAGGGGGCCGCACGGAGGCGGTCCCGCGCGTGTTGCAGCCAGCGCACCGCCAGGTCCAGCGGTCCCAGGCCAGGACGTGGACTTTGCGAGGCGAGGATTTATCCATATCCACCACCTGGGAACCGACGTCCTGGTGCCCCAGCATGCGGCGGATATGGATATATTATGTATATGTTTACGTATATGTATAGTGAACGCATGAAATTATGTATGCATGCCTGCATGTATGTATGTATGCATGCATATGTGTCTGTCTATATGTCTGTGTGTCTGTGTGTGTGTCTGTCTGTCTGTCTGTCTGTCTGTCTGTCTGTCTGTCTGTCTGTATGTCTGTGTGTCTGTCTGTATGTACGTATCCATGCATGCATGCATGTATGTATGTGTGTATGGCTGTATGTATGTATGGCTGTGCATACATATATATAGTTCTGCGTGCTTTATCCAGGCGGTGAACAATTCTGCTACTGCGTATCGTCCGTCATAGCGAGAGCTGTGACACGATCCAAACTTGACAACTCCAGAGTTGCAGTGACAAGGGTTGGGCGAGTCTGAAGCGACTCGAAGCTATAAGCGGGTGGGAGCACCAAAACAGGGGGCTACGGAGAGAACGCTGTAGTGACAATGGGATACGCCTCTCTCAACCTTCAACGCTGGCACAAACGGTGCTTCTGAGTGCTTTTCCAGAAGCGACAAGGGGATAAATCACTCTCGACCTTCACGCGCAAGCACAAACAGTTCTGTATGCTTTATCCAGGCGGTGGACAATTCTGCTACTGCGTATCGTCCGTCATAGCGAGAGCTGTGACACGATCCAAACTTGACAACCCCGAGCCCGAATGGTTCACAGGGTGGCAGCGGGTGGGCTTTCAAAGAGCGACTTCTCTAAGTGGCTAGCACACGCGAGCCTAGAGGGAGCCAGAAGTGTCTGTACCATTAAATCGGCAAGCTTCCTGGGGTAGGCGGCAGCGATAGCTGTCCATTTCCCCCCCGGAGAGGCTAGCCCTTCTAGGATTTTATGTTGTTTCCCGGAAAAGGAGCAGCATCCCTGGGGGCCTCGACAGAGCCTCGAGAGCATTGAGAGGTCTTCGGGGAACACATTGAAACAGAGAGGTTTGGTTCGCTTCCTCCATCTAGCCCCGTACCCACACTGGTCTCAAGTCACAAAAAGACCGTTATATCGCCGAGCCAAACGGATCGCCTCGGGCGTATGCCAAATTCGTGACTTGATCGGATGTTCTAACATAGCGGGTACGCGCGAGCGACAGAATATTCGCAGCAGCCACAGCGCAGCACGAAAAGTGTGATTGCCAAGGCGCAATCTCTCACGTTGACGAGGGGTCAGATTTTGCCACGGTAGTCCACATGGTTCATTCTTTGAGCGAATATTCTGCCCCTCGCGCTCTGCAGCTACACCCCAGGACCCGCGCGGAGGCGCAAGACTGGCCGCAGCTACCTCGCCTCACAGGACCTGAGACTGGATGTGCTTGCGAACGCGGCGGCGGCATAGGTCCTCGTCAGCTCCCCTCGCACAGTCATGCCCTCTAGCCTGGCAACCCTGTCTCAGGCTAGCTGCGCCGACGGCGCCGCTCCCCGCGAAGCAGTCAACGAGGATTTTGCCCCGCAGACAGCACCCAGCAAGCGAAGGCTGACAGGGCGCGGGCGTCGCAGCACGATGTCCGCGAGATGTCTTTCGCACAGCTCGCAGACGATCTGAAGCCTCGGGTGGAGCCTGGCCCAGCTCTCTCCTAGCCTGGCCCCCTTCTCGTAGCGGATCGTTGATCTGATTTGCCCACATTGCCCCCGACGCTGGACCTCCTCCGCCGCGCGCCAGCCCCTCGACACATCTATGGAGGGACCGCTGTGGCGCGTCTGGTAGGGGATGATCCTGTCCTCTATGTCCAGCTCTTTCACGCTGCTCTGGAAGGCACGCATGTAGGCCGGATACTCGAATGTGAACACGAGGCCGTCGGGATCGCCTTTGACCAGCAGCGGCCATAGCGGAGTCAGGCACTGCGCCAATTTGCTGTCGAAGGCTATGCACACGTCCGCCAGGCCCGTCTTCGACCTCTCGATGCGGTCGTTGGGGGAGAGGAGGATGCTCCAGTTCTTGGAGACGCCGGGCGTGGGCCTGATGAGCCCCCCTCCTCCTCGACCCCGTGAGCTCCCCGGGGCGACAGTACGTGCTGAGCGAGAGCAAGAGGAACACGCACATCAGCAGCCCTTGGGTCGCGTCTAGGCGCCGCGCCAGGGCGGCCCAGACTCAAGGCCCACGCCCGGCGGCTGCGAGCGGGCGCTCGCTTGCGCCAGCCTCGCAGCGCCCGCCAGGCATTGGGCAGCTTCTGGGAGCCGAACTCCGACCTCGAGTACATGATGCCAGCTAAGGCCTGCTCTCCCTTGGCCGCCTCGTGGCCCTGGAAAAACTGGTAGTTGAAATACTGGGAGAGCGCCTTCATGATCTCAGCGCCGAGGCCGGGGGGCGGTCGCAGTAGTCGATGAACTCCATCACCTCCCTCTCGCACCGCTCCCGCACCGGCTTCGTGACGCCGCTGGCCTCGAGGAAGTTGAGTCCGCCGCCCATGGCCCTGGCCACCGCCTCCGAGAGGAACTTTGACCGCCGCTGGCGAGCCTTCTTCCTCATCGCCGCCGCCCGCTCCGGAACGGCGCGCTTGCCTCCGCTCTGCTCGCTCGCGGCGCTGCCGCTGTCGTCGACTTCGTCGCAGCCGCCCGCGTCTATCTGCTCCCGCTTGCGCTCTGCAGCGGATGCTCGCAGAGCTGGCGGGCTCAGCTCCAGCCTCGCCCCCCGCGCGGACTGCGGGGCCAGGCGCGAGACCAGGCCCCCGCGGGCGCCCTCGCGGGTCAGGCGTGCCCCTCGCCCGGGGCCGGGGCGAGCGCGGCTCGCGCAGGCCCCTCGGCGGATCATCCTCGGACAGAGCGGCGCGAGCCAAAATGTTTACGGAGGGGCCGCCAGTGGCGGAAGCGGGGGGGAGCGCGCGCGGAGCATTACTGTCAGGAAAATGGAAGGGAGAGGGCTTCTCATTGTCATTCTTCTCCGCCCCCCAAAAAAACAGCGAAACCTGGCGTCTAGCTCGTCTACCAAAGGATCGCTTGATTCGGGCCCGCTGAACACCCTGGAACCCAGGTCCGAAAAATTGAACTCAGAAGGGGTCCAGCGGACCAGAAGTTGTATGTTCCTAGAGAGGCAATAAGCTTGGATGCGACGGATGATAGCGAGCAGCCTGAAATCGCGACACCTGCTACGACTGATGGCAAGGACAACTGACAAATTATCACCTAGAATCAACTGCCTCAAATCGTGGGCTCTCTGGAAGATGGCCAAACGCTTGACGGCCACGAGGACCGCCCGCGCTTCCTTCAGAAGAATATTTTCATCGAACAACCACTTCCGTACATAGCAGGTGCGCCAAAGACTGGACGCGAGGAGCCTGGCGGGCACCTCGGTAAAACTAGAGTCTACCGCCCAGGCGCCCTCGGTTCTCGGGTCTGCGTCCGAGTCGGACACGCGCCACTTGCCCGACGGGTCGCGCCAGAAGCCTGAGGCCCCCAGGGCAGACTCGCGGGCTCCGCAGCCACCAGACCGCTTGAAGCGCGAGCGCTCCAGCACCCGGCCCAGGGCGGAGACATCCTCCAGGCCCCACGTGGCCTTGGCGATGCCCATCCCCTCGACGGAGCTATCAGTCTCGAAGACCATCGGATTCCACGGCCGCGCCCAGTCGCTCTCCAGGAACAGCATGGGCCCCTTGAGCGCACGAAGCTCCTGCAGACACTCATCCCAGAGGTAGCCGGCCCCGTCGCGATACTTGTGCATGAAAGCGTACGCCGCGTGCCGCACCGAGAGGCATCCTCGGTTGGCGAGGCCGGCGAAGGTGCAGTGGCCGACCACCACCTCCAGTGCCCAACCCAAGCACTTCGGGCGTCGAAGGAGAGCCTCGATGGCACGGCGGATCAGCCACCATCGCTCCGAGGTCACTCGCGATCGGAGGCCCCCGCCCTAGAGCTCGACGCCCAGCGTCCTGCACTTCTCGTCGGTCACCGCGGACTCGTGCAGCACCAAACCCAGCTCGGCGAAGTGGCGCTGCAAAGCCGAGATGGCCTCCCCGACCTCGTAGCGCCTGGTGCGCAGGATCCCGAGGTTATCGACGCACACGTAGTGCTGCGCCTGACCTGCGGCCGTCTCTGGCGGCAGCACCATCAGGGGCGGCCCTCTGTCATGGAGGGGGGGCCCCAGAGGAGTAGAGGCGCCCCGCAAGGTCTGCAGCTCATTTATACGCTGGGCAAACCAGAGACCCCAGGCGAACCCCATCGGCAGCGCAGCCCGCACTGGATGCACCAGCGAAGCTCTTCCCAGGCGCCGACCTCCAGCCATGGCCCCCTCGAGCCCGAAGACGTGCGCAGGGGCCGCGGGCGCGAAGTGCGCGGGCATCTCGGGCCTCAGCTTCAGGCAATGGAGGCAGTTGGCCACGTCCGACGTGCCCGCCGCGAGCTTGAGCTTGCCGAGGTACTCCACCGCCTCCGGGCTCTGTGGCGCCATGCCGGCCGGCAGCGCCACCTCGCCTCGACTGGGGCCCTCGGCCGTCGGCAGGTCCACCCCAGGAGGGCCCGCAAAGACCGTTCACACGACGAGCGTCGACGATCAATCTGAGCGACTTGCCATCACTCTCGAGAACACAGAACAACCCTATCCGACACTTCGGGCTCGCAGTCCAGTCGGCCATGCCGATGTCGAACAGCTTCCGAACTAGACGCTGGTATTTCTTTTAGTGGAAATTTAATTTGGGGTCCAAGTACGGCTCGATATTGGGCAAGATGCCATCTTGCCTCAGCATGCGCTCTTGATAAGCCAACAAGTATTTAGCGACCTCCTGTGGGGCCACCCCATCAGTATAAGGGCAGCTCCGGACGGACCTTGGCAAGGAAATGCGGTCGAGCTTGAAGGGCGCGACACGAGTGGCGGTCACCCCCGCCTCATACGGCGAGTGGCCGCGCAGCATCCGCTTGAGGGCTGCCGTCGCTGAGGAAGCGAAGTCTGGGCGCCGGCCCGATGCCAATCCTCGAACTCGCTCATGGAGAAGCAGCTGGGCATCATCCATGGGAAGGGGCCTCTCGCCCGCTCGATACCCTGCCAGCCAATTAAGTGCGCTGATCGCCTCATTCGCCGCACCGATCTCCAGCTGCTCTCTGCGCCTCGCCCTCGCGGCCCCCGCCGAGGTGGCCGCCGGCGGCGGCGGCGCGCCCAGCAGGGGCGCAGGGAAGAGATCTCGCGGCCCTCGAACGGCCGCGACGCGGCCTGAGGCGGCCCCTAGATCTCGGCCGAGGTCGGGGCTCTCCCCGGCCAGCCCCTTGCTCATGCCGCAGCGGTGGGGGCGCCAGGCCCGCGGCCTTTGTCGCCGCGTCCGCGCCCGCCCCCGCCACGACCTCCCCCGCCGCCACCTCCTCCGCCGTCGCCTCCGCCGTCGGCTCCGCCGCCAGCAGAGCCTCCGGCGCCGCACTCGGCTGGAGACCCACGCAGCCCGCCAGCACCGGTCTCACGATCCTCCTTGGCCCGCCGGGACACGAAGCTGCGCATCTCGGGGCCGACGACATCCTCGGCCGACAGCTGGCCAGTGCAGTAGCGGGTCAGGTCCCAAGCGGGCTTGGCTGGATTGGCGCAGGCGCGTAGGCAGCCGCGATGCCCGCCATGCGCCGACATATTGCCTCGATGCACAGCAAGCCGCCGATGTTGACCTGGTCCACCGTTCCAGCGAGCCAGAGGGGCTCCACGAGGGTCCGCATCTCATGTGCAACTCGGTCCGCCCCGGCAATCCCCTTCTCTCGCATCCACTCGCAGCCACAAGCGAGGGCCCCCTCCAGTCTGCAGCGTACGCTTGGACATCGCGAGCGCGACAGGGGGGCCCTCCATGCGCTGCGACTCGTTGGTCTCGCTACTGCTCGCTTGGACCACTTGCTTCCAAGACTTGTAGCGTTCGCCCTGGCCGTCATAGTCGATCACCATAGTCCGCAGATCGCCAGTCTCGACTGCCGCCTCGGCGGCGGCGGCTGGCGAGGCGGCGGCCCCGCCCGGGGCCTCGGGCAAGGCCCGGCCCAGGCGGTCGCGGAAGTCGGACTCGTCAAAGCCTGGCTCCTCCCTGGCGATCCCCAGGCTCTCCTTCAGCTCGCCGGCGCGATGCTTCGTGTAGCCTGGGGCCGCCTCGGGGGCCACCCCCTCGACGCGCCGCCAGCGGTCGCCCAGCTTCACGAGGCCGTCGAGGCCGCCCGGCGTCCGCAGCACCTGCGCGCCGCCGTCGATCTCCGTGCCGATGGTGCGTCGGCCGGTGGGCTTCGCCAGCGCCCAGATGTAGCCCTCGGCCACATCCGCGGCCGCGAGCTGGTCTGACGGCGCGGCGGGCGGCGGAGCCGGCGGGGGGCGGCCGTCGCCCCCTGCAGGGGCGGCCGCGGGCCCGGCTGGTCGCCTCGCCGAGGCGGCGGCGGCCGCCCTGGGAGAAACCTTCCCTGGCGTCCGACGCGTCGCCAGCAGGCCTGGCGCGAAGTTCTCAAGCAGCACTCGCTCGCACGCGGGGGCCAGAACCGTCCTCACCTCGGGGGCCTCGCGGCCGAGCTCGGCACGCGCAACCGATGGGCCGTCTCGGAGCAGCACTCTCAGTCCATCGGCGTCAGGATACTCGCGGAAGCGGTCGACCTTCATCGGGAACGTGGCCGGCACAATGCCGACGTCATCGAGCGGGATGGTGTCGGCCACTCCCCAATCCTCGTCTTTCGTCACTGGCTCGATGTAGACGTCTCCGTCTGGCGACATGATACACCGCTTCTTTCCATCCACGGGCCACGTCATCCGTGAACGTCGTCACGATGAGGCCGCCCGTCACCAGCTCACGCAGCCACGCCGCCTCCGCGTCGCGTCGGAGCAGAGCCATGGCTGCGGCGACCCTGCCCGCACAAAACCGCCACGGACCGCCAGATCAAGTGGCCGACGAGCACCGCGCTAACCCCTGCCCACACACACGACCACGGGTCGGGCGTCTCTGGGCACGGTGGGGCTCTCGGGCAAGGTGGACACGTGACCTTTGGACAGACAAACGCCTCCTGCTCGTAGCCCTCCGCAGCCGCCTCGGGCACGGGCGACTTCCAGTCGGCAAGCAGTCCTTGCGCTAGCTGGCCCGCCTCGGCGGCGAGGATGGCCCAAACGGGGTAGAGGGCGCGCTCGGGGCGATCCGCAGGGGCGATCTCGCCCATGCCCCGCGGGGCCCTGTCGAGTACAAAAACAGGGGGCTACGGAGAGAACACTGTAGTGACAATGGGATAAGTCTCTCTCAACCTTCAACGCTGGCACAAACGGTTCTTCTGAGTGCTTTTTCCAGAAGCGACAAGGGGATACATCACTCTCGACATTCACGTGCAAGCACAAACATATATGCATGTATGTATGTATGGATGGATGGATGGATGGATGCATGGACGTACATATACGTGTGTATATATGTATATATATATATATATAGCCCCCAGGGGGGCCCGACTAACGCCATATCCATATCCATCGCATGTGGAGGTCCGCGAAGATCGATCCCCCAGCTGGTGGTTAATTGTGGATAAATCCCCGCCTCGGAGACTTGGCGCGCGGACAGGTCGCTGCACTCCACGTGGACACGCTGCCAGTCCTTCTCCAAAAGCCGCCGCTGCGAGCCTTGAGGCCGCCCCCGCGCGAGCAGCGCCAAGCTCGGCGGGCCTTGCCGCAAGGGGCCTCGCCGCAGCGTTGGCCAGCGCGCTCGCCCGACTGGGCGCGGCTGCCGCAAGTGGCGCCCGCGGGCGCCATGTCCTGGCCAAGCTGGGCGCGAGCTGTATCCAAGCAGTCTGCGTCGTCCGCCCGCCCGCGGGCCTTGCCCGGCGAAGCGCTCTGCCAGCCGGAGGCGCGCGGGCCGCCGCAGCCGCGCAGGAGCGACCGTGCCTCGGGCCCCACGGCGCCGCGCAAGGAATCGAGGCGGTGCGCCGGCTCCTCGCTCTGCCTGGGAGGCGGCGGCGCCACCGCGGCACGGCCGCAAGAGGGCGCCGCGGAGCTTCAAGTCCCCCAGGCGGTCACGGCCAGTCCGGGCGCGGACCTCGGCCAAGCTTTGCGCCCAGGAGGCGGCCAGGGTTCCGCATTGGCCGCGGGGTCAGCAGCGTCGGCGGCGGCGGCCGCCGCCGTCGTCGCGGCTGGCGCGTGGGTCCGCAAGTGGCGCGTTTGCTCCCCAGCGCCGCAATAGCGGAGCAGCAGCGCGGCCGTGGGGGCCGCTAGTAGGCGCTGCGAAGCACAGGTGGGTAGGTACGCAAGCTCTTCCATGGAGCGCCATGGCCCGCTCGGCCGTGTCGACGCAGCGCGCGGCATCGAATCCGCCAGAGCCAACGTCGACCCAACGTCTGTTGCTTCCGTCAGACAAGCCGTGTTCCGGCAGGGCTGCGCCCAAAGGCATCCCGACGAGCGTCAGCCCGTCCGCGCGCACCTGCTCCTCTAGGCCTGGCGGGCACAGCGAACCTGGGGACCAGGCTTGGGCTTAGTGCGGCTGCAAGCCGAGGCTCGCGGGGGAGAAAACGCCCCGCGCGGCGGGCAGCACCGTCCTCGCGAAAACTGGCGGCGCCAGCACCACGACGTCGTCGAAGTACGCCAGGGCCTGGAGGTTTTCCACCCGCATCCCCTGAACATCTGCAGCGGCGCGAAGCCTGTCCTCCGAGGCGCGCGGGCGAGGCCGGATCCCGCCCGCGAGCACGGAGCAGCGGCCAGAGCGGGCCCCCTTGGTCCGCGCCGTCCGTCGACTGGAGCCGGTGGCATACGCAGAAAGCATCTATACACAACCACCGTGCCAGGCCAGGGCCATCCTAGGCCCTAGGAAGGTGCACGCGTCCTCCTGGCCGAGCCAGGAGGGTCTATACACCATCCTACGGCCCAGGATGGCCCTGGCCTGGCACGGTGGTGGTGTATAGATGCCTTCGTCGGATGGCAAGCCTCAGCGCGGACCCAGAGATAGCGTCGGGACTGCCGCCGAGAACAGGCCTCTGCGTACTGCAGGAGTTCCCGCGTTACCCTTTTTTCCGGTTGGCGCAGGCACTCGCCCCGGCGGACGGAGCCGAATGCGCTCTTTAGCGTCAAGCGCCACGGTGACCAGGCTCGGGCTCGTCTCCGTCCGCGCGCGGACGGCGCGGGCGAGAAACCCCGCAGCAGCGGCCGTGCCGATGGCATATTGCTGCTCGCCGAGGGCACCAGCCAAGGTTTCCCTGCGCGGCTGGGCCACGGCGCGGCCAACGGGTCGTCGCAGTATGTTGGTGCCGCAATCGGCCACTCGCCGCCGCCTGGCGCGCGCAGCGGCGCAGCGCCCCCGCCGTGCACTCTGGCACACGGCCTGCTGCGATCCTGTCGCACAGCAGACACAGAGTCGCTCAGCGCTGGCGTTTCCGACAGCACCAAACGCCCGCCACCACCGGCGGCGCCGCTTCTCTAAGGCTGCTGCGGAGGGCGCGCTTGAGGTGCCGGCGCGAAACTGGTATCCTGTTCTTCTTCCTCTTGTTTCCCCTCCTCCTCCTCGTCAACCTC